TCATTTTTTCCTCAAGGGTTTTAGGTATGGTCTGGGAACTTAATTCAAATATTTGATCCACAGAATTCACACGGAAGCGCAAAAAGAAACTTGTACGAACGAACAAACAATGAGTACGCCATAAGCAAGTCATAAGCATGACAACCCAGTGACGAAAATGAAGCCTCCGGAATTTTGCATCTTTAGCGATGATGTGACGGAGGCCTTTGACCATAACTCACATGATTTATCTACCCTATGAAACTTATTTAGTAGTAGCATTTATATGTTTCCAAAGAAAAAAAAAATTGCATACCTAATCTATCTCACTTTTTTAGTATTGCTAATGAAAAATTTTAAGGTTTTTTTTTTTCGGTGATGATCAGATGTTTCTACAAAGTAGGAGATGACTATGATTATTGATAAAGTGGTAATTATTGATTGACAAAATAACCTTCGAATTATGTTTCTCAATAAAGCTCCAAATGAAGATATTTCATTTTATCCAAAAAAAAAAATATTTTTATTTTATTTTATTTTTTTTTTTGAATTCTAAAGTTGCACAACCAATTGAACAAAAAAAAATTGTTTATATTACTGTAATAGGATTCAATAACCATCTTACTATTATAGTCCATTTGTTATAATTAAAAGAAATTGGTTTCCTGCAATTATATAATCAGAAATAATTTTAATTTTCTTATCACACATTCAAAAAGATCAAAAGTGCTGGTATTTAAATCAAAATTCCATATAAGGTGAGATCATCATCGCGTATTATGCTGCGGATCATTGTTACAAAAAAACGTTAATACTTCAAAAGACATAAAATGTAAAAAATATTTCGAACCATCTCAAAATCTTTTTTTGATTCATTATTTTTCCATGATGAGAATTTCCATCTTTAATCGTTAGTTTGTAAATATACCGCAGTTCGCAGCAAGCAAAGATTGATCATCACATGAAACCCAAAACGAAAAAAAAATTTATTTAAATTAAAATTATCTGAAACCACATAGAAAGTAGGCGTACCCCCAAGTACCTTATTCTAATAACTATATGGTTTAATTTGGAGTGACAACAACCGGCTATCCTTAATTTGGTGTCGCAATCACGTGATTTTCTGTATACATTATATAACATCCCATTTTTTTACAAAAAAAGTGACCCAATGGCTCAAATTTTTCGTCTCAACCTTTTTCGTAACTCTCAACAGAGTTCTTCTCACCTGTTCTTTCGTAACCTTCCTTCACTATTCATTCAATCTTATTCTACTGAACCATTGTTTAAATCGAGACCAGCTCCAGTTCCATTGGCAAATCCACGGGAACAAAAAGAATTTGAAGAATTGGTTCGTAAAAATCAGGGTTCCTTTACTTCCGACAGTGTACAGATGGATGAAGAAGAATTGTTGTCATCAACGCATCCTGATCTACGAAAAAAACCTCCTCCTCAATTCGAAGGTGATAAAAATCCTGAAACAGGTGAAATTGGTGGACCTAAACAAGAACCTCTAATACATGGTGATTGGAGTTACGGTTCAAGAGTCACTGATTTCTAAAATAAAAAGGGAGGGGAGGATTTGGTGTGTAAAAAAAAATAAACTTTATCAAGAATGTTCTAGTTGTGTAACCAACCATTCTATGTAGCACGAATCAAATACATTCATTCCTTCAACGTTTTTTTTCACCCACTTTTTTATTTAAACAATGATCTATTCACTATACATAATCAATAAAGCTGGAGGTTTAATCTATCAAAAAGACTTTAGTGAAGGCCTAAACAAGCTTACTTCTAACGAATATTTGGTATTAGCAGGAACATTCCATGGGTAATTTTAATAAATAAAGTTATTTGGTTCTCTAATATTTATTTAATCTCTTTAGGTTAAAAAATGAGACATTCTTAATCTGTAGAGTACATGCTATAACTTCAAAAATATCACCGGTTCGAAACGCAACTTCTTCGGGTTTAGAAGTACTCGAAGCGGACACTTTCAAATTATATTGTTATCAAACATTAACAGGTAATTCTTGAAAGATTTTTCTAAATCCTTTTCTCCTTCTCTCCATAGTGCTAAATTTATTTATCAAATTTAGGTACAAAATTTTTAATCATTGCTGAGCCAACCCACGGAAACATTGATTTATTACTTCGTCGTACTTATGATATTTATTGTGATTATGTTATGAAAAATCCTTTTTATACACCTGAAATGCCAATTAAATCTGAATTATTTGATTCAAACTTAGCCAAATTGATTAAACAAGTTAGTTCTTAATTTATACTTTTTGCAAATGGAATAAGCTAAATAAGTTGAACTTCCCTTTATTCTAGATTCTAAATAAAAGTAATTAATTTTTTTTTTTTACAATTCATCATGAACTGATTCATCATCTTTATTTTTCTCGAAATTCTCATAACAAACGCTTGGCGTTGACATATTCATTAAATATTGACAATCTTCAGGCTCAGAAAAAGAAAGAATTTTGTTTTCTATGCCACATTCGAAATATACCTAAAATCAAGGATTTAAAAGATTTAGAATTAGAAATAATTATATTTTAAATAAATAAATAAATAAATTAATTATATATATAAAAAAACCTACCTTAACTGATCTGTCCTGTCCATTCCAACACCTTGCTCCATGATCATATAATTGTGCTGTATAATATTTTGGATCATCCCTTGATTCAGACCCAATCCATTTTGCAAAGTTACTAAAATATATCGATAAAAAAAATATATATTTATTAGTAAATAATAAATGAAACGATGATTCAGAACATTTATATCATCATACCCTATATGTGTATATTTATACTGAGCACTTTTTTGAGTTGCCTTGTCAAATAAACACACTGTGTAAGTGTACTGTCCTTCAGCGTAACTAACGCATGTCTCTTCTAATTTTGTAAATTCTTGCTGAGGTCCATAATCCCTTGCAAGTTTTTCGTTAATATCCTCAATTTCATTTTCAATACTGCTTTTCGCTTCTTTTGCTTCGTTTAGCGCATCATTTGCCACTGTTACTTCTGAAAAATATATATGTATCAAAAATAATTTAAATATAAAATTATTTTTTTAAGATTGATTTACCTTTGGATTTACCATCACCTGAAGGCCTAGAGAATTGTCGCTCGGATTTACCAATGGTATATTCTGATAATCCAAATGCTTCCAACACGTCATCATAAAGGTCTAAGAAAGCTTCGGCAACCCGTTCGCTTAACGAAAGTTCTTAAAAGCAGGAATCGGAAGGAAAGTAAGTTAACGTGTGAAAAAAAAAAAATTCTTAAAACCTATAAATCCTCTCTTACTGGTCTGAATTTCAGGAACCTGATTCTCTTCCTCTATTTCGTCTTCATAAATTTCTTCCTCTTGATCCAATTCCACTTCTATAAATTCGTTATATCTTTTGATGGCATTTTCAACAGCAACATCATTGTAATTTTGATTATGATCATTTTTCATTTCTTCCAGAATTTTAAGTAATGTGTCGATTCGTTCACGAAGTTCTTCATTCCGTTCCTGCAATGTTCTTAATTTCTCTCGACATTCCTTTAATCGGCCATTACCTAATTATGATCGCAATTATAAATAAGCCGGTTAACATTCCAACGATATACATATGACGCGTCTGAAACCAACCTTTTGCCTTAGACTCGAGTTTTTCCATCTCTTGAGCCCTTTTCAATACAGCTTCGTATTTAAAATAATTTGTCGGTAAGTGAAATCGTTTTCAATAAATGAATTTTGATAAAATTACCTTCGCGTTCTGAAACTTTAACCTTTGCGGACTCAAGCTCGATTTTTAATCGTTCCAAGGAAGCTTCACGTTCCTGTTTCTTTGTTATACCATATTGAATATATTCCTGTCTTATCCGTGCTCCCTGCAAGGTAAAGAAAGTTACGGGAGATCAGAAACGAAGTTGTTTCTTTTTTTACGATTATACAAATAATTGTATACCTCGATTTTAATATTGGCCAATTCTTGTATATGCCTACGATGTTCATCACCGAGTTCCTTGCAATTATTTGGACATACAATCTTTCCATCATATTCATCTGATCCATCACAGCATTCAGGTTCTTTTTACAAAAAAAAAAAAAAAAGTCAACATAATAGGTTCGTTAATTACAATCTATACCGAAATAAAAACTTTACCGCAAACACCATCATTTACGCGTTCAGATGATATATAAGCCGGAAAATACCCGACATTTGTACAATAGAACCTGCCATTTGGACATGCAGATGTGCCTATAAGAAAAAATATGAATTGTTGTCAAAACGGATCGAATGGTTTATTTATAATTAGATATTAGGAAAAAAAATTGCATTATTGAACTACTTGCCTGGTTCATCAGATCCGTCAACACAATCGCAATAATCATCATTAATTGCTTCGTACGGTATCGTTGCTGACCCGTCTAAACACGTCCATTCTGATCCTTTCTTCTCATAAAGAAGTGCCTCTATAAGGGAGACGTGAAATAAATACCAGGATAAATTTCTATAAAAATTAATAAAAAAAAAGTTGGGTCACTCACCTGACTTTGCCACTCCTCTTGGTATGTTGTTATTATCTTGTTCGGCATGGATTTGTATAGCAGAATAACTTAAGACCACCACCAAAGTCAATAATAATGGACTAAAAGTCATATTAAATTTAATTGAATTAAATATTTGTCTATAACTCATAATTCTACTAAAAAAATTCTTTTTTTTAAAAAAAAAAATTTTTTTGGTTTTATTCGTTATCATGTTATCGTGTCAAAATGTCGATCAAATCTTGAATATACGTCATGACACAGCTGTGATACAGAGAACTTAAAATCAAATTGGATTATTTGACTAAAATAAAAAAAGGTGGCTTGAAGCTTGTTAAAAACCAGAGTAGAGGAAATTCAACTTTTGTTAAATAACACGACAACGTTAATATCAAAGGTACAAACTAATTATGATGTATCAATAAATTATATATATATTTATAACAAGAGACAATATATTTATTTTTTACTATAAAGTTACACCAATAATTTCAGATCTTAAAAGGTATTAATTCCGTCTCAACTACTAAATAAATTAGTATTTTAAAAATTTTTTTTTTTACTTAACGAAATGTGTTTTCATGTGAATTGCTTCTAACCATATTAAGTACACAAATTTATATACATTGTATCACCTTATAATAATTCCTACATTCTTATACTATAATAAGAAAATAAATAAATAGCGAATTACTTTTTTCAGAAATCAAATCTTTTCCAGTTACAATTAAAAAAAAAAATCATTGATTTGTATTTATATCGCAAGTTTCAAACACTACCAATAAATTTTTAAACTTTTGACCACAATTACTCGACGATGAAGAAAAATATTGGAAAATTTAAACAGGCGTGTTATTTTTTTCAAAAATTGATATCATTACATTTTGGAGGTTGTTTTTTAACCAGTAATCTTATTGTTGTTAATAGTGGGCGAACGAAAAAGTCGGATCAGGAAATAAAACACAGACTACTGAGGAATTCCAAGATTTGCAGCTAAAAACCGATGGGAGATATGATGGTCTCTATAAGCTTCATGTTGCAACAAACTTCTACATAAAGATCATGTGTACGTGTCTTTTTAAATTGGTCATTTTGATCTTCGTGTAGTTTAAAAATCATTTACATTAATGTAATATATATAGCAAAGAAAACGGATTCGGTAGAGGAAAAAGCGAAAGTTTTACCCTTAGAATCGCTTGGAAATACTATGAAAGTTTGTGGTGAAGAACTTGGTTCAGATTCTCCCTATGGTATGGTGAGGAAAAATTATTATAGATAATCTTTAATCAAAACTTTCAATTAATCTAATTAAATTTTCATGTTGAATAGGGATGGGATTAGTCAAATTTGGTAATGCAGCCGAAAAGATTGCCAATGCACAATTGGATTATGTTTCACGTGTACGAGATGATTTCCTTTTCGGATTGACCTCTTCTATTGAAGAATTTAAACATTATCAAGTAAGACAATGAAGAAATTAATTCATGTGCTTTCTGATAGTAGATCAGTGCTAATTTTTTCATAATATGATTTGTTAACTAGACATTAAAAAGAAAATTAGAATCACGTAGACTTGATTACGATGCAAAACTAAGTAAAGTGCAAAAGTCAAAAAAAGAAAAACCAGAATTAGAAGAAGAAATGCGTGCTGCAAAAGAAAAATATGAAGTCGTAGTGGAGGATATAAATAATAAAATGCATACACTTAATGAGTCAGAGGTTAGTCTTCTCCTGGCATAATAATATGTTTGGTTTTTAATTGTAGGATGTAGATTAATTTCCGAACATTTATAATTAGGATCAATATCTGCAGGAATTGACTTCATTTTTAGATGCCCAATTGGAATATTTCAAAACTGGACACGAAATTTTAGAAAATATTAAGAAAGAATGGGTTGAGAGGTTAGTATCATCATCATTATTATTATTAAAGGTCATTTATGTATTATTTATTAATTTTGATGATATTATTGTCTCCTGTGATAATTGATAGTTCTAATAAGTCAACAACACGACGTAAACGAGTACCAGTACGATCATCCACACTAGATTCGACTAATTCAAATTCTGATGGGGGTGGTGATCATACTTCAGAAAATGATGATTCGAGTGCTCATTCGTATTCGAATTATAGTAGGTCTAGGCATAACTCAAAGAGAACATCAAAACTTGTCAAGTCTGAAAGTTCTAATAGCCTTAATGTTCCATCTGGATTATCTCGCAATAAAAGTGCATCATCTGGATCATCTGTCAGATCTATTGAATTAAAGAAACCAGGTTTGAAATTATAATATTACTTTTGATACGCTTTTATGGTTACGTTTAATTAAATCTTTGTAATTTTTAGCTGCCACGTCACAAATAAAACAAGTAAGAGCTATATTTAGTTATGAAGGTGAAGGTGAAGATGAGCTGGCAATTGAAGAAGGAGATACTATCACAGTTTTGGAAGAAGCCGAAGGGTGGTGGATTGGTGAAATTATTAATACAGATGGAACTAAAAGAAGTGGAATGTTTCCTGCGAACTATACGGAGGAAATTACTGAGTCGCCACCAAAAATGCCTCCACAAATGCCTCCACGTAGACCAACAAATTTATCAGCGCAAACACCAGTTGAGCAGGAAGAACAAGAAGAACTATATGAGGAAGATGATGATTTTGATGAAGAACCACCACCAGCACAAACAAAGAGTTCAACACCAATGTCTCGAGATAATTCATATACACCTCCAGCACGTCAAACTTCACAACGTCGTTCACTTATTTCACAATCAAATGTATCGTCTCAAAGGCCCGGATCGCCAGCCGGAGGAATGCCTCTAATTCCATCTCGTAATTCCAAACCTTCCCCAGTCCGTAATTCTTCTGTAACATCAACAGCTGTGGCTCCACGTAAGGCTGCACGTGCAAGTTCATATGAATATTCATCAATTGGAAATAGTATTCCTAGAACTATGTCTCCACCTTCAACAGGTGTATCAAGAAATTCATATATACCTCAAGATTTTAATTTGGGTAGAGAAAAATCAAATGAAGATTTTGGACCTTGCAAAGAATGTGATTGTGATGATTATTCTCCCAATGTATTTAAAAAAGGAAGTTGCAAAAATTGTTTTCATATACACTAGAATTAATTATTATTATAACATTTTTTTTTGTTAATTACTTTGTAAAATATCTCTAATATTATTTTTACTAGTTGATTTACTAGTTAGAATTTAGATATTTATATATACAAATATGGTATATACATATTATTACTTTATTTAAATTATAGAATAAAATATTATTTATTATTTTTAAATGTGTTAAATATACATATATAGACTAAATTGATTTTTAAACGGATTATATATATATATAATTTCAGCGAATTTAATTTAAATGAATATTATAAGTAACATTAATTTAGTAATTCATTTGATTAACATAATAAAAATTTATCACATCTATTATTCTTTCGCATCGCTCAGGACAAATAAAATATTTTTTTAAAAAGTTAAGAAATAACATTATATTTCTATTATTCACAATTAATAAATATAATATACTTTATTAAATTTATCTAATTTAATGTATAAATGTTTTATTTTCTTTATTTTATAAATATCACTAATGAATCAAAAAATCTATATTCGTTTCATATAAAAATGGTTAATTAGATTAAATAAATAATAAAATTTTTTTTTATATATAAAATCCCAACGAATTAAATTAAAGGAAAAAAAAAAAAAAAAAAATACAGTAATTTACAAATATATATATATTTTTTTTATAAATCTAAAAGTAAATTGTTAGGCGTACGATCGCCAATATTTACAACATCTACATGATAAGGATTTGACTCGTAATTACCAAGATTTCTATAGAATAATAGAAGGTGAAGTGAACAAAAACAATCAAGTGTTTTTTCAAAGGCAAATCAATATACGTACCCAGAAGTAATATCATTTAATTCAGCGTCAAATAAAGTAGTTTTACACTGTTTACCATTTTGAACAGTATTTCTGCTATTTAATACAGGAGAATTGATTAATTGTCTTGGTTTAGAATGATGAATAAAGGTTTGAGGAGATTTATGATAGATTGATGATAAACTTGAAATATGTAATAACAATTCGTCGAGCAAAGAAGGTTCCATATTATCACTTTCAGTTGAAATCCTTGGTTTTTCAGATAATACAACGGTCTACGAAAAAAAAAAAAAAATACATTAGAACATTTTTTTCCTTAAAAAATTACCTTATTTCAATTTACCTTTGCAGCAGTAGGATCGGTTGAAAGTAATCTCCAATAAATATAACCCCTATCACGTAGATCTGGATTATCAACATCTTCAGTAGCCCATTTTAATACTTTAGGTACAAGAGATTGACCAGCCGTGGGTTTTTTAATAAATAATTTTACGGTAGCAGTTAATAAACTTAATTGTACTTCAACCGGTTCCTCCAAAAACGTGAAAAGATAATCATCTAATAATTCTTCGGAATTTACAATACGATCGGCATATTGACCAATGATCCAAATCATAGCAGATTTTGCTTCAGGTTCATCCAAATTATCTAAATTTTCGCATAAAGTACCAATAATACTTTCATATTGATTAGGATATTTTCGAAAAATATCTTTAATAACCACTATGGCTTCTTGGACTACATAATTCACTTTGGTTTGTATCAGTTCTAATAATGCCGATATACATTTATCGGCGGTTACTTCTATTTTTACCGCCAATCTTCCAATTGATCTCACAGCCTTTCTCACAAAATCAACATCAACTTCTGTAGCATACCTATAAATGAGGCAAAAAGTTTTTAAATGTATCTCTATCCATCAATTTCCTTAAGGAGAAACTATACTTACTCCTTTAATTCAGATAAAACATGATCAACATTACTCGCATTTGCCAAACGAAACATAATTTCCAATTTAGCTAATTTCACATAAATAGGATCATTATATTTACAAAAGAAAACTTTCATATCTTTTCTTAATACTTCAGGTCTTTTTTGTATAATTAATAAAATATTACGAAGTGCAACGTATTGTACTTCAGGTCCATTTGAAAGAATTGTCACTAATGGTGGAGATAATTTTCTACAATTCATATT